TTAAAAATGATTCGAGTCAAGTTGAGATTAGCCGAATAGATTCTGCAGAAATAGCACCACTCACGCATGTGCGAGCGTGATGACCGGAGTTCTTAATGTCTGTCGCTTGTAATGGTGGATCTAAATCCTGGATTTTTGGCACCGAAAATAGTCGGTCGGGCGCGCGGAGAGACCGCGAGGGCGGGCGCAGTGCGTGTCGCTCCGCCGTGTGAACAGCTCGTGAGGTGAGTCCCGCGATGCCGAAAGTCGCCACCAGCCTGGATACTTACACAGGATAACCGGGATGACCCCCTTGCCTTACGCCGCGAACAAGTTTTGGGTTGTGTGACAAGTGACACTTGAGTGGTGCGACGTGTGGAGTATCCAAGCTGGAAGCGCTTTGCGGTGTAATTCTATCACGATCATTGAGCCCCGATTTAAAAGTGAAATTAAATAGCAGTGCGATAATAGTCAAACTGTAGTGAATAAGTACAGGTGCGCGTACTACGCTTTCCATCGATGTGTGACTCGAATTTCAGCGCGCGCGCGACCTCGCTGAAAATAGTGTTGCCGCCCGCGCGGCTCGCCGCCCGCCTTACTTGTAACCTATTTGCGGCATGTCCTAACATTACCATTTAGAAATGGCTTGAGTAAACTCCCAAAATTTATTTAGAATACTGGCAAATATAAAATGGAAAAATCTATTTGCAAAATATGCTTTCGTGTTAATTATTTTAGAACAAAAAAAGTTATAAGTTATCTACAAAATAACTCATCATACCAAACATAGCTCGTATCGAATTTAAATGTGCTTACGTCATCGTGTAAATTACACGTCTTACTTTAATCACAGAATTTTGTATTAAGTATACCTATAAATATACTGACACTGAAATGACACTGACACTGAAAATGTTGCAGAATAAAATAAAATAAATATAACGATTTAATTCTTCTAAAGGACATTACAATATGGTGCTATCAAATTTGTTTATTAAATTATACAGATTATCATTATTAATAAATGTAATATTGTTAATAAACAGATTCTTAAATATGAATTTTAAAAGAAAACTTACATTAATTGAAGTCTTCAAGAGATATTTCAAAAGAAATGATTATACTTAGGTATATTTTATGATAAAATCTATACAAATAAATAAAATTGAAGTGTCTGTTTGTAATGTTAAAATAACAACTTTTTACTACATGTAGTAAAAGTAAGTAAAGTATATACTGTAATAACAACAAAAATATAATTTTTAAAATTTTTGTCTGTCTGTCGGTCTGTATGTCTGTATGTTTGTTCCGGCTAATCTCCGAAACGGCTGGACCTATTTTGACGGGACTTTCACTGGCAGATAGCTAATGATATAATATTTTGGGCTCCGTGCAAAAAAATTAAAACCTATGAAATCCAAGTTCCACGCGGGCAAATTCGCGTAGAACAGCTAGTTATATATATAATCGTTACGTTTAATCTATGATATTTAAATAAATAATAAATTTTATTGACATATAGATTTAATAAATGCAAGTAAGAACAGTGAGCTAAACATCTAAACAATGTTCAAGGTACATTTTTTTTCCGTTGGACCGCCAAACTAGGATAGTAAGTTATCATACATATCTCTTTCCTATTACAATTTTCTTTACTTATTAAGCTTCAGGATATAATAATGTCGCGACGTAGAAATCGAAATAAGCCATACATATGTACGTATTGGAAATCGGTTTAATAGTTAGCAGACTAACATGCTTAGGATTGGGTGGATCAGAATAATGTCGGCAATTCACATTTCACGACATGGTCACTCAAACAGCCGGTGACTGAATACGAGTCAGAGATGTTTTGGCTCTATATCAAAGGTATTCACCGTGGCGCAACTAACTCCAGTTGAAATATTTAGGCCGGAGACTATGTAATATCAACAGATACTGATAGAAATTTAACTTTATTATACTGGTACTTTTACTCTCTAAGAGAAAATGAATGTATTGTTGCTATATTGTGAACGTCGGAGCATTATAGGGTCATATGTGAAAGGTCATATGGAAAATGCCAGAAAGACCTCATTATCTTCGATAGATGGCATTATACAATCTCGTTTACCCTAGACCTAAAATACCCTGACGGGTGGCACGGATCAGAGTCTAAGATGCAAGATATCTAGTACTTAGATCGCCGTGACTATTATGGCAGATCTTTCCTGCAAAAAGGGGGTAAAGTAAAGAAGAAGAGGATGAAAAGAGGTCAATAGCCGAAATAAAGTTTCTCAGCTGTAAAAAGATGACAGTTTTCCTTATCAATGCTTTATTATCAGCCCATAGGCCTTTCCTAGACATTTATTACATATGCTACGCCGCGAATGCGAAATTTTCACTCCTAGCCTTCAGGGCTGTTGTAACCCGTAGAAAGCGGCGGATTTTCACATGCCGTCACCCAACAACCATTTCTATATTATCGAGCAATAGAAACCATAATAAAGCAGCTAAATAAATTATAAATTATTTCGCTGCACTTCGGTATTAGTTTTTAGGATTAACTAAAAAGATTCTAAAAATGTTACCTGTAACAAAAGTTGTGATTTATTGTTTAGTAAAATATATAATATTAATAACTATATAATATGAATTTATCAAATTCCATACAAATAGATTCAATGTAGCATAAGTTTTATTAATGAAATATTTTCTAACACATAACGTGTAAATTTTCGAAGACCTGGTTTCAGTTCCCCCACCAGCTGTTAGCTATAGCTCAGGAACGCGTTTATTTCTGTGAATATTGTCGGTAACCGTTGAGAACTCGCCAGAAATACCTCCGCGTCATGTCTTGTGGCATTTATTTTTGCTATCGTCTAACGCTCGTTAAAATATCCCACAATTTAATTCAATGTTAGTTTCATACTTTATTGTCCCATAAAAGAAGTATTGCGATTAAATCTGTATGCACATTTTTTTAACAATACAAAAAGAGTTGTAAGTATATTGCATCTCGTATATTTGACAAAAAGTAATTAAATCTGTGCTAGGTTATATTCTAAAGCTATAAAATGTTTTAGTAAGGAGAATTCTACAGAATACAATAGACATTCTACAGAAAATAATTTTCCCATCAAAAGTTACCACAAACAATAATTGTTTATGGTAATTAAAATTGAATCCTGATAATTATTATCAAGATTCAATTTTAATTTCAAAGAAAAAAACTATAAAAAAATAACATTTTTTTTGTAAATTAAAAATGTGATAGAATGAAATAGATGTAGTAATAATATAATAAATAAAGCCGGTTTATACGTTTATTAACATAATCTAAGTATTGTTTTGCTACAGTAGTTCCCGTGTTGTGAGTGTCTGCTGAAAGAAAAAAACCCATATGTTACGTGTCAGGTCATGCGCCTACAATATAAAACAACGAACTTCACCTTTCGATGTCGATATAATGTATAGTGCTGCTTTATATAGGGTATCGCAAATCGGGTCGAAAGATAACGGGGTTTATATAGGTTAACGCCGTTTAATACCACGAGTGTGGACCTATTGGTTATTAATGCAATACTTTTACTGCTGTACTGGCACAGAGCCAAACATGTAATTCAAATGCTGAACTGTAATACAATTCAAAAGAAGTTATTTTTAAGAATATTATAAACAAATGACTTCAACGTATTTGTAAAAAGGGAAGAATGTGATGAAAGTAGAGAACAGTTATAGCTGACTCTATGACTATTTTTATTTATATGATAGTTTAAGTTTGTAAATTTACACATGTAAAGTAATCATACAAATTGAAGTATTTAGATAACTATATTATTAGTTAGATGCTCACTCTTTCATTTTCACAAATTAAATAATACTTATGAAAACGATAGCAATATAAAGTTTACGCACACTGATGATACTGCAGAGCTCTTCTTTTCTTTATAAGCTTTATAATGACATCGGTTAATCTCTGATGCCGCTAATTTAAACGATTTTTTTTTCAGAACCTTTTGAGAATTCAAATATTAGTATTTTTATTCCGGTAATTTGGATCGAATTCTAACTAATCCCAATATTAATGTTAATAAAATATTAGATATGTTGAAAATAGGTAGCGGGTACTCAAGTGGATACTTTTTATGAGTATAATCCAGTCGAATTTGAAAATTATAAAACATTTACTAGTTTTTAAGCTTCTTTTGCTATCTATCACTGTACAGGAAGACATGCAGCGGTGATGTAGTAGGCATACAGATTATGGGCGCAAGTGCTCAGGATCCCTTTATGACAGCTTTTGGGGGAGTTGCACTTGTAATGGACTGTGATGAGTTGTTAAATTAAAGATGGTAAAAGTACTTTGCCAATATCCGCTCATGAAATAAAATGATGTGTCTTACCTAGTTTGAAGGGCACCTCGCTCTGTCCCTCAATTGCGTGCACTATTCCCGTCACTACTAATCCCACTACTCCGAATACCACTACACTAGTAAAGATACACCACCGTCGATAATACGACACGTGTTTCGCCTCTACACGAGGCATGCTCAGGTGAAGTAGACTGCGGCGGCTGACCGCTAAGTGAATTGAGGGAGGGCGGGAGGTGCTCTTCAAACTAGCTAATATACATTATTTTATTTCATTTAGCGGATACGGGCAAATCAATTTTTATTTATATGGATTTCCGTAAAGTAACGCCTTATTCTATTAATTATCTTAAAGAGGTGTTAAATGTTCGATGACTGTGAAGTCATCTACACCTACGTGTCTGACTGGTTTACTTATTTCTTGTCACCAAGCAGTTCACCAACAGCAGTTCACTATTGTGTTCCGGTTTGAAAAAGTGAGAGAGCTAGTACATTACAGGCTGAATTCCGTGGGCTGTACTTAATCATTATATTATATTAATATACAAACTTAAAACACGTACTTTTACAAAAAATATACTTTATCTTTTGTCTTTCTCGTTGTATTTTTTAGGCCAGTAGCTGGCGTATTTTTCAACCGGACCGTAAAAACAAAACAAAGCCGCCACCATGGACGCGATTAAGAAGAAGATGCAGGCGATGAAGCTGGAGAAGGATAATGCCATGGACAAGGCAGATACCTGCGAACAGCAGGCCAGAGATGCCAACCTCCGTGCCGAGAAGGTGCTTTATTATTTCTTATAACACTCTTCTGCTTTTCTTTTTTTTAAAACTGTACTCATTATGTTATTAAATGATGAAAATCTTATGAAATTAATTATAAAATCAATAACGACATTTTCCCCAGGTTAACGAGGAAGTCCGTGAACTCCAGAAGAAACTCGCTCAGGTGGAAGAGGATCTGATCCTGAACAAGAACAAACTGGAACAGGCCAACAAAGACTTGGAAGAGAAGGAGAAGCAACTGGCCGCCACTGAGGCGGAAGTCGCCGCCCTCAACAGGAAGGTGCAACAAATTGAAGAGGACCTTGAAAAGTCTGAGGAAAGGTCTGGCACAGCTCAGCAGAAGCTGCTTGAGGCCCAGCAGGCTGCTGATGAGAACAACCGGTACGGGATTAAGCTAATTAGAAATTATTTTTTATCTTGAATTATTGTAAAACCCGTAACTTTGCTATTCATGTGAAGTTACAGGTTTTAGACATTCCATTGCTAGACACATGCCTTCTTTCATTTTTAAGAGGGTGATGGAGTAATTAATCCGCCACGCTGCTATAGTGGCGAACTTTACCTGTCCTTAAAATAGGAAGAGCCTTGGCTTTTTTTATAGGAGAGGCGGTAGTCACATGATGGTAAGTGACTACCGCCGCCCATGAACAACTGCAACACCAGGATAATTGAAGATGTATTGCCAGCCTTTTAGAAAAGAGTAAGCTCTTCTCTTGAAGGTCTCTAAGTCGACTTGGTTGCATTTATTCACCTATCTACGAAAAATAAAATCTTTGATCAATGCACCTTTCCATTATAGACTATAAAACTCCACTGTTGAACATACATAGATTGCCTGAACATCATGCGAAGGATTTTGCCACACTTGCCACGCCTGACGGGTGGGTTGGCAATCACAGTTTTTTTTTAAATTTGAGTTGTTATCAGGAAGACACTGCTACCCACGCTACCTATATCCTCTTTCAGTTTCCCTCTGTCGCCTCTAGCTACATCACGGGACGATATGGGGTAGTGGATATTCTTACACCGCCATTAAACGCTCACATTTATCAAAGACTTCTGAAAATTCAGTCACATCGTACAATTTATCTGTCTTCTTTTATATATAACTGATTAATATATTGTCATGTAGTGGAGCAACGCTGCACTGCGACTGTACGAATGGGTTAGACCGAGCGGGAACGGACCATGCTCTTACAGATTACCAGCGTAATAATAGCAGTATAATGATGTGCTTTGTATGGTTACATTCAATTTATTCCAGATTAGTCATCAGGGTTTTCTGCGTATCGGCATTTTTATTCTTAATCGAGAATAGATATAGGTATCCATTGCAGGCACTTACCCTCAGATGGATTTTTTTTGTCATCCTCTCGTGTTTAATTTTTTTTACAAACTTCTCAATGTTTGGAATGATATGACTGCAGTCGATTTTAATATCAAGTGGATTTTTTTAAAATTATTATTATGTATTTTAAAGTTACTGGTAGTGGGGGTGTAAGAATATCCACTCCCCCGCATCTTCCTTTGGGTGTAGTAAGAGACAACGTGGGAAAACAAACCAGGAGATGGGCAGCAGTGTAATTTACCATAAATGCCAAATATGACAATTATAGCAAATATTCGCTTTATGAGACAGTCTATGGGAGAGATCTATGTTCAGCAGTGGACTTTTATAGATTGTAACGATATTTAAAAGATTACGAGCGACCTCAGTCTGATAAGCGATAACCAGTTTAAGCCAGCATTGTTGTGATAGTGACTGTTGTTTAAAGTGCAGATTAAAAGCATGTTACATATTGAAATAAAATACATTTCAGTACACGTAAATTCCGCTGACTTGAGCAGTGTGTTGAACTCTTATCTACCCTGGAACCTTCTAAGGATGTCTGTTGCCATATCGCCTTCCAAGTTTTGCAGGTTGATTGGAGATCGCGTATCAGATGCATCGCACTTTTTACTTTGATAGTCATACTGCCATCTCCACGGACTATAACGGAGTCATGGTTTCCGTTAGGTTGCTACCACATTGGCTAAGGGTTGTTATTTTACGTTTGTACGTATTTTTGACCATTACTCATAAGCAAATATTTATTCCAGTATGTGCAAAGTATTGGAGAACAGGGCACAGCAAGACGAAGAGCGAATGGACCAGCTCACCAATCAGCTCAAAGAGGCACGTCTACTTGCTGAAGATGCTGACGGCAAGTCTGATGAGGTGAAATTAATGTTGCTACTAAAATTTGATTGACAGGACATTTAATAGTTGTCGAGATGTTGTGTAAATTAATTTTGACGATCGATTTATTATTTACTCAAGGCTTAGTGATCAGAATACATGACCATTGAGTAGCGAATCTTGAAATACAAATTATAGGTATTTATAGGTATAGGTTTCGGTTAAGGATACGTTCTGTTCTTGTGATTGTACTCTTACTTAAGAACTTATAACTTATTACGGATTGTATCTAAAGCTAAAAATTTTACACGTTATAATTCAGTACATTTTTAATTATAATAAAAATGATATATTAAAAAATTATCTGCGTCATCAATTGAAGAAAATAATATCGGCCATTTTGTACCATTCGTTTATGTTTTTGTGCTTGTATGTTCATTGTTTATAAACTTATTAATACTAATTTTTTTTAATAATGTAAGGTATCACGCAAGTTGGCCTTCGTTGAAGACGAACTCGAAGTCGCTGAGGACCGAGTCAAGTCTGGTGACGCTAAGATTTCCGAACTTGAGGAGGAATTGAAGGTTCGTACGACAAGACACAACTTAGTATTATCTATAGTTGTTATTTAATTTCGTATCTATTTAAAATTTGCAATAAGTACACATTTTGCCATTAACATGTCTTAAATATTTTTATAGTTATATATGGGTAATAAACGATCACACAGTCCATCTGATGGTAAGTGTGGATGATATGGCCGATAAACATCTACATTATCGTTAAGAGTCAAAATGCAGATGCATGGCCTGAGGACTAAGATCCTTGTTTCCATTAAAAGGGGTCTTCGGTTCTCTAAACTCGAAACGAAAGAAAGCACCATTAAGCTGCTATTTAACGCTGGTATGTTGTAAACATGTGTTGTTTAATAAAAGAAAAGAGTCAAAATTGTAAATCAGTGACTAATTCAATTTTCGATTTTCAATGACATCATACCAAATTTTATTACATGGTAGAGCCACGCTGCAGCTATACTATAGTTGTAGTACGAATGGGTCGGCTCGAACGGGGTTGGACCACGCTCTCACAGAATACCAGCGTAAAATATCAGTTTAATGCTGCTGTGTTTCGTATGGTGAGTCTAGAGAACCGGAAACCCTTTTAGGAAACGAGGCATTCCATGTCAGTCCTCAGAGATGAAAACGCATTTGCATTTTGATCCTTAATCGAGAATAAATGTAGATGTCTATGGGCCACAGCATCCACTTACCATCAGGTGGATTGTGTGCTCGTTTGTCACTCTTATTCTATATAAAAAAAACATGAACAAGTCTACTTTTTTTGTGAAGATTTAAGTGAAGATGCACCAGATCGGAACAAGAGTTACCGTAAATTTTGGTTATAATTATAACATTCATGTTAATAGATTTTTCGATCCAGGTTGTAGGTAACTCCCTTAAATCACTGGAAGTATCGGAAGAGAAGGCAAACCAGCGTGTTGAAGAGTTTAAAAAACAGTTGAAAACTCTTACCATCAAGCTGAAGGAGGCCGAGGCTCGCGCTGAGTACGCAGAAAAGACCGTCAAGAAACTCCAGAAGGAGGTTGACAGGCTCGAAGGTATGTCTTTATCAGTTTGGTTCTTCTACGATCTAAACTGAACTATCTTAAAAACATGAAAATAAATCCATTGGCCGTTTTGGCCATTAAATTATATAACTTCTAATCAAAATATTAACTTATCTGATTTTTAAAGGCAAAAATTCCAAGTGTTATTTACTTATTTTTCTTTACAGATTTCATTAGCTTAAATAATAATAATGACATTAATATTATAATAACATATACGAGTGGTTGTTAATCAAAAATAATATTTTCTTCTTAATCAAACATATTAATTTTTTAATGCAATCTTAATTTATTCAAAACTGTTTATGATTCTAATATTCCAAATCCAAAGAGGTTAATCGGACTTCACCTAAAATACCTTTTCATCTTAAAACACTATACTTTTTCTTTTTACTTTCCGATCTACGATAGGGTAATATACGAAATTTCGATACTAATTCTCTTCGCATATTATCTAAGTAACAACATTTTCCAGACGCGTTGTTCAACGAGAAGGAGAAATACAAGGCGATATGCGATGACTTGGACGGCACATTCGCCGAGCTCACAGGATACTAACCACCCTTTTAGCAATTAGTTTAAGTCAATATCTTTCTTAATTACATGTAGCCTACCATGCAACTGTTGAGATCATCATCCAGACGACAAAATTTAAATAGTTTCTATCAATCTTCTATTACCTATCTCCTCTCATTAGTTCTTAACTCGATAGCTCATTACGGGCATTTTCTATTATTTCCACTACTTTACCGAAAATTAATTTCTTTCTCTTACTAACAAACCTTAACCTCTGCGCCGATATTTAGGGGATTGTCGCTCTTTGTGCTAGAGTACGCTTAGACAACATTCTGACAATCCTTTAGAAATCGCTTAGTGTAAGAACCCTGCTTTTTATGTTGTGATTAACATGTCTTATGCTTTTCTGCTACCGCGGTGGATCAATGCTTCCAAGGTACTTAATATTTATTTTTTAATAATAATAATAATATCTATAATTAAACGTTCTGTTTAAACTTATACAAGCTTAGCTAACGCTGATAAACGAGTTTTAAAATTTCTAAAAGTTCATTAATAATTTAAAAAAAAAACCTATGTTTTCTTTAATACCAATAATACTAGTCTTAATACAAAGGAGCAAGGTATGAGATTTAGCTCTAATGGGATTTATCAAGTTCACCAACCGTCAGTAGAGTTTTCTAAATGCGTGGTACCATTTATTGCTGTGGATAATTTAACATCATAGAACATACGAGTACAGGTTTCCTTATAATATTCGTGTAATATCAAAGTAGACAGATGCAAACTATGATGGGTCCGAGTCGGAACCGATATTTATCCGACAAATAATTATTAGTTTTCGTGTCTGAATGAATTGTGATCGCCCTTGGGTATTTAATGAACGAATCAATAGGTCATCACATTACATCGAATACAGGGTGATAAGGAAGAAGAAAAGTTCTCTCAAGTATATTTTGCCCCTACTATGGCTTCTATTCCGTCCAGTCAACATTTGATAGTATTGTGAAGTTGCTACCGCGGTTGAAATTGCCCAAGAGAATAATATGATAATCATAATTCTTCACCAGCACATAGTGTTTCTAGGCTTACATTGGCTTGTTCGTTTAGTGATACTTAAAAACTTTACGGTCGTATAAAAATAATAAATTGTTTAGATTGGATAACATTTGAGTATAATCCAATATTAATCTGTCTGATACTTGTTTCGGAGAGTATTGACGCCAATTATTAATATAATTCAGGTTATTGACTTAGGTTTTTTTAGAAAATTTTGTAGCATGACATTATTGCGTACAAAACTTAATAATTTTTTTATGATTTCTTCAGACGAGCTGGGTATCAACAAGGACCGATACAAGAGCTTGGCTGATGAGATGGACTCCACCTTCGCCGAGTTGGCTGGATACTAGACATCGCACTCCACACATACACACATTCACACAAACAAGCAACCAACTTACGAACGCAGTCTCAACACTGCGTTTCTCCAAACAGTTAACACCAGAACAAATACTTTGTACAAGTGATGTAATGATATTTATTATTATTTTATGTAAATTTATTTACGATTTTCAATAAAAAATAATTTATAATAAAGAGTTTATTTTAAAATAACCACTTTTGTTATACCAGTACAGTTTTTTTAATTGAAGTGACAAAGAAACTAACAGTCCACCTGATAGTAAGTGGCTGCTGCAGAAAGCCACTTACCATCCAGTCTGCAGTTTATAAACACCTGCAACCAACTTAAAACCTCTGGGAATGCATTAGTGCCTGTAAGAGGGCGTACCTCTCTATACCCTTTAGACCAGAACACAACAATGCACGTACTGCTGCTGGCCCACAGAATTACGTGAGAGGGTACCTAACCAGATAGACTCCTAGGTAGAAAGGGATATCCAACACCCAGTCCTACCTACCAAGTTGTAATTACTTGAAAGTAATCTGTTTTCTTTAACCGTGTGGTTAAATTTAAATATTTCTCGAATAAGTTAATTTTTTTTAATATTATAGGGTGACAAACGAGCACACAGTCCACCTGATGGTAAGTGGTTGCTGTGGCCCATAGACATCTACATCTATCCTCGTTTGCGAATCAAAATGCAGATGCGTTGTCACCCGTGAGGACTAAGATGGAATGCCTCTTTTACAGTAATAAGGGTCTCCGGTTCTCTACACTCACCATACGAAACACAGCAGTGTTAAGCTGCTATTTTACACTGGTATTCTGTGAGAGCATGGTCCATCCCCGGTCGAACCGACCCATTCGTGCTAATATAGCTGCAGCATGGCTCTACCACGTATAAAGACTTTTGAGTTCTGTAGAGATCTGTTTAGATTTTTTAATGAATATATTCCCTCCGCTACATTCACAGCCGGATTTCCTACAGTCTCAAAATTGTACCGGCGATAAGTTGCTTAAAGGTAAAAGGGGATTAAATATACATATTAAACGGCTTCACAGCCTACCGTAGGAATTTATAACTCTAGTAGTAATTCCACTAATGACACAACTTTTTCCATTTTCTCGGAGCAAATTTAAGATTATCGTCGTCGTGGCACTATTCAAAATTATTTCACTAATAGTGAAAAAAGTTGGAAAAAATTATTTACTTTCGCGTATTTCCATTTTAATTTTGATAAAACAATACATTTTTTTGGCACTACAGATAGCTGTGAGGCTACGGTATATTCAGTACGTATATTTTTAACAAACTCTGATGCAGATGTTCTTGTGAAGGTTTACCTAAGCAATGCTTTTAAGTCTATCGATAGGGTAACCCTGCTGAATGAAGTGGCTAACAATATCCCCGAAATTTATCATTAAGTTTGGCAATGTTATAGTCGAAATACTAACTTGTTTTACGAAAATCATATTATCGATTCCGCTGTTGGTGTTCAGCAGGGTGACCCACTAGGTCCAGTGCTTTCAGTTTGGGAATTCAACACATTATTTCAAATTTGAAATCCAAGCTCTCCAATTTCTAGTACCTGGACGACGGTGAACTGGGAGGTAGAGCAGATGACGTCCTTAGTATATAAATAACAATAAATATAAATAACAATAAATGTGAAATAATTCCGATTTGTCAACCCCATCAGTGCCCCTGCGGTAGCAGCGTCGACAAGTTTGGGTTCCACGGACTTTCATGTAAGAATTTCATTTTCAGTTTTCACGGCACGGTTCTTTGAACGATATCATCCGAAGGGCTCTTGTCTCTGTAAATGTTCCCTTGGTTTTAGAGCCTTGTGGAATATTTAGAGACGATGGCAGGAGACCCGACGGTATGACATGGGTCCCTTGGGAGAGAGGTAAAGCCCTAGTGTGAGATACTATTTGCGTAGACACTTTGGCAGCCTCTCATCTCAGGGGTACCACGTTTAGAGTCAGAGCGGCATCAGAGGCAGCTAAATTGAGTAAGTAGTGCAAATATGAGTCCCTGAGAGATGACATATTTGTGCCATTTGGTGTAGAGACTATAGGTCTTTGGGGTCCCCGTGCGGTGAAGTTCTTAAAGGAACTCTATCTGCGACTAGTCGTTGCTGCTGGTGATAAGAGGGCTGGTTCTTTTCTCGCTCAAAGGCTAAGTATAGCCATTCAGCGGGGAAACACAGCCAGCATTCTTGGCACGATACCGCGGGGAGTAGGACTGTATGATAATTAAGTTACTATTTTTAGTTATTTTTTTATTATAGTTTTAAATATTGTATGTAATAAAATATTGTATATTGAATAAAACTATTTTACGGATTTTTTCGCGTTTAATTAACTTATTTATCTTATTTTTATTAATTCCCGACGTTTCCGGTGCTTTACAGCACCCTTGGTCACGGGGGACTGAGGTGATTGACGTCCCGATGTCAGAGTTAACCCGGAGTACCTTCAGCTTTTTAATTACTTATTTATCTTATTTTAATAAATAAAAATAAGATAAATAAGTAAATTAAACGCGAAAAAATCCGTAGTTTTATTCAATGTGTAGTGTTCGCGTAAATATAAGAAAACATTAAAATATTGTATAGTTAAATTCATTGGTTGTTATTATGGTAATATGAGTAATATGTTTTCTCCTCGAAATTTGTAATATTGTCTTTTAACTGTTTATATTTCTGATTTTTCTGTTTTAAGTTTTTTGGTCCTTCCCACCACAAAGCGTGCTCTAAGAGTTGTGATGGAAAAATGCCTTGGCATGATGCCAATGTTGAGGAGGCAATAAGTTTATGATTTCCCCAGTCCTGTTTGCGACAAATGTCTTCCCACGGCTGGGGTGCGTCTGTAGCCACGCAAGACCAACTTTAGAATCACAATATGCTACTATATTATATTTGTTGATATTTAATTGCTCTGCAACTTCCGTAAATAGGTCGGTTAGGAGCACGGCGCCACAGAATTCTAATCTTAGGATAGATTAGTTTTAATAGGAGCAACTTTAGTTTTTCTTTGAAATCTAGTGCATGTATATTCAGCCATACTTTTTACAATTCTTAGGTATACGATGGCAGCATAGGCTATAGTAGAAAGTATCAGAATATTTATGCAGTTCGTGGTATAAATCGTCATGATTAGTATTCAACCATCTATTTATTGTAATGTATTTATAATTGTTTAGTTCCCGTCTGTATTCAATTCATTCTTACTTTAGTGTCTTTGGTATCTCTTGGTCCCAATCTATGCCAGCTAGCCACAATTTTTTATTGAAAAGTTTTGCTGTTACTATAACGGGTGCTAACTATCCAATGGCTTCAAATAGTCTAGAAATTTTTGACATAATCCTGTTCTTTTCGTAGTTTTTTCTGTATGGTTGTGATCCATATTAATTACGTACTGAAATTTACATATATCTGTGTTTCTGTCAAATTTTATCCTAGCGGCGTTTTTACGTTTTCGTTATTCACAATGTATATATTATCATCAGTCGCTTTTTTTGCCTTTCCTATATATTTTGAAATTATTTTGAACCCGCCAGTTTTCATCACTTGCGTAATTTGTGTGTATATTTCTATTGCTTCTTGCAAATTTCCAGTTCCAGTAAGGAGTTGATGTAAAAATCTTTCATGGCTATTTTTGTTGCTGCAATTTGAAAATTTCCTTTTCATGTTGTCGTTAGTTGTAAGGTGCATAATTATATTTTTTTCTCTTTAATTAGCCAATTTTCAAAAAGTACGAGTATTCATAGATATCATACGCAAAACATCCTCATGAATCAGTCTGCCTAATGAAGATTCAGTTAATAGATTCAGGTTAGATGATTGAGTGAAGTGAAACTGAGTGAGTAGATTCTAACATTAGCGCGGAAATACATACAGACAGACGCGACGGGACACTTTAATTAAAATATAAGTACTTTAATTATAGTATAGATCCTCTATTTTCCTCCTTTAGATGTATTTGAGTGGATAGGTACACAACAAATTGTGACGTAACTTAATGAAATACGTGTGGACTTATTCCTTATAATCTATAGTTTACAATAGTAATATTAGTTTTACCGTATCTAACGGCTAACGGGAATCTAACTGAGAAATTAACAATTAAAATATGAATATTATAATAACCCAAAAACAAACTAAAAGTAGTTGTCTAGTAGTTTTTACCGGTATTATAAGTTAAAATAATGCACTGTTAATACTATAAAAGAAAGTCGTAGGTACATTCAGCATTTATAAGTACTTTAAAATTTATGGAAAATCATTTTAGTAGTTCGTTATTCGTTACACGCATTTTTTTTCGTATTACGTTAGTCAGAACACGAATATCAAAACAACTATTTTTTCATATTTCATGATCCCTGTTAGATTTTCAGAAAATCTTTAGGCCGTTTACTATAGTAAATTGGTATTTTTTTTATGTGTAACAAAATTAAGTTACGTTAAAATTTCTAGTAAAAAAACGATTGTCTCCTTTGTCATCAAATTTACCTAAATATACTAAATTACCCTCTGAGGAGACTTTAAGTTTTTGAATCGGTGGTAGATGTTAACGTTCCTAAGACCTGGATATAGCCTGAAACAAAATAAATTTCGACTTGTGGACTTCAGACTTTCTGAGATGGTGTGTAGCTTGCTACATATATATTTATCTATGATGGTGTGGAAGAAAACGGAAATTGGCGTAACTGTCAAATGACGTCTGTCCGTCACGAAATAGTGACGCAGGACGCATGCGTAAGGCGCGGGAAACGCGCAAGCGTAACATCCCTCTAATCTCAAAGCTTAATCGATAGTGCAATAGTCATAGTAGTGACAACAGCCTGTGTTGCTCTTTTGATTTTCGCGTATTATAAAATAGGAGATTTTCGGTAACCCGTTGCGAGAAAATTCATCAAAGTGTCGGTATCAAGCAGCGTCCTTCCTGGAGCCATCACGGTGAAGATGTTGATGCTTCAGGACGGTCCCGATATCGCTCCAGTCGAATCTTGTGAGTAATATATTATTGTACCTTTAAAGAACATTTTGACTTTGAATTGCGTTGACGCAAATTCGTAGTAGGCATATATTTCACGCATAATATTTAAATAATTCTTACTTTCATTTCTGAAGCATGGTAAGTTAAAAATCTCTTAAAAGTTTATTTATAAATGAAAATAAATACATGATAGTATTATAGTCATTATGTTTAGAAGAACATATTGCTGATAGGCTAATAACTTGTTTAATAAAAAAGGAACGTTCAAAATCGGTTAACAATTGATGAGATATCGCGCAGCAGCATACATACACAAAAAAACAAACAGTCACATTCAAACCTCCTTATTTTTTGAAGTCGGCTAATTCTTACAATCATGTTCCTACACGAATAAAAGTTGAATTAAGAAGTAATTACTAGCAATGACTATTCAATGCGCGACATTTTTAATCGGTTTATTACGCAGAATCATCCATTAATAGCAACCCTAGGCTGAAAACCCGTTCTTATTAGGCTTCCAGTTATACAATACCCAATACCAACAATATTATATTGTACATCGTGTGCTTACTATTACGACATTTCTAAGATAAAATAGGAACGAACAAAACCGAGGTACTGAGCGTAGATATCAACTGTCGGTAAAGCTCATTAGTAATATGATATCCCTTTTACTGAACACTGCTTCATCGGGATCATTCTTTTTCTTTTAAATATAGAAATGGAAGTATATCGAGTATCGAGAAAGAAAGTTCCGTGAGCATTGTGTATGGTAGGTGAAATTTGAAAATTATCGTATGAGAAGTGTAAACGCGTCATTGTCGTGATGAAGAAGTTTTGCTGGACGATGGACCAAATTTGGTTAATCTGTTGCGACACAACACGTCAGCCGCAACCTTAACTTGCAAAAATCTAGTGATAACACAAATTATCAAAATACAACCCACAGTTGTATTTCTTTGTTATTTTGCGTTTTAAACATTATTTTAAACTGTAATACATGGATCCAGCTACACATAATCTATTTCTTTGACTTCTTTATTTTGCGAATTTGGCGTATAGGTGCCAATAAACGAATATCGATTTATCAACAATTCTCTTCTTGTTTAGGCTGTCTTGTGTTAGTCTATATAGTTTAATTCTAGCATAAAGGAGATGTGATTTATTTATTTTGTATTTAATTAACTTTTATGAGAAAAGATTTAATAAGAAAATGTTAAAGAATTATAGATAAGCCAAAGTACATATATATATATATATATATATATATATATATATATATATATATATATAAATATATTCTATACATATATCATATTATATAAATGTGATATATTTATAGAATATATATATATATATATATATATATATATGAAATATATTCTATACATATATCATATTATATAAATGTGATATATTTATAGATTAGTATATAGTATAAATAGACTATAAATACTACACTTGAAGACATCTCGACAATTTGAGTGATGGTAGATATAGGTATTGATAAAATCCTTTATGCCTATGTCTATCGATCGCACAATGGTGACCAGGAGACAACACAATTATTTGATCACCTTAGTAAGGCTGCTGACGTGGCCCTACATCGGTATCCTACTGCACAGTTGGTCTTTCTGGGGACTTTAATGCTTGTCACCAAGACTGGCTGTTCCCGTACCAGAAGACCGACCATGCTGGAAAAGATGCGTGGAATTTTGTTTTGACGCTAGGTCTTTCTCAGCTGGTAAAGGAAGCGACTAGGGTACCCGATGTAGACGGTCATACAGCAAATTGCTTGGACCATCTGCTGGCTATCGAAACAGACAGGTGTGAAGTACAGGTTACCTCCCCTTTGTAATAATATAAATATATTAATACAAAAATACACAAATATATAAATCTAATTTAATAAATATGTCGCAGGTTTATGATAAAATCAGGGTTTTGATCAAAAACCCAACCTTTGCATCAAAAACCGGAAGAAGACAAAATTACTATTTAATGTTATCATAAACCTGAGAAATTCCAGTTTTTTTTTTTAATCAAAAACCTAGATTGACTTAATTTTATGATAAATCAACCTAACATAAGCTTAAATTTTATCATAAATATGAAGTTGTTTACACAGTTGTATAAACTTTGTAAAAGTGTTGTGTAACACTTGTGTAAACAGCATGTTTTCAGGTTAATGAAAAGATTAAGTAAAAACTTTGTCTTTTTCCGGTTTTTGATCAATTTTAGCGTTAATTCACACTTGCATTGATTCTTGAACTTTGTTTTTGAAAAGAAACCTGTTGGAAGCTTTTTTAATGTCAAGAGGTATTAATTCCGCTATTAATTAGATCTATAAGAGACCATAAGATCTTTCTAGCTCTTACCACAGTCGCCTGTTATGTCTCTCACGACAAGAAATATCGAGATAGATTCTCATGCGATGCCATCACGCCGCGCACTGTAACAACCACTGAGTCATATTCAGAATTCGAATTCTTTTTGTTACAATCAATCAATAAGATTTTTAGGTTATGTAAATATTCAAGAACAAGCATAGGATAAGCAGCTGAAGAATGAAGATAATTAAAGAAGAGCAAAAGTAATTAGTCAATATTCTGCCGACTTCCAAAAAGGAGACGGTACTCAATTCGACTGTATGTTTTTTATGTGTGTTACCTCATAACTTTTTACTGGGTAAACCGATTTCGATGATTCTTTTTTTATATGAAAGCTGATACTTCTCGCGGGGTTCCACATGATTTGATCAAGGTCAGATCAATAGTTTTTGAGTTATTCTTAATAACTTACATAGAAGTCGGCTGTACAAAATTTTTAATTTTAAATTATTATTAGTAATCTCGGTTTCGCAAGATTTTTGATAAAAGTATCTTATTTGTATTACTTTTTTATTCTTTACTTTTTTTCCTACACTTATATTTGCACAGTAGTGATATTGTTATTGTGACCCCGTTTAATTTAATTTTAATTTAATTTAATTTTTTAATCTAGTTCTATATCTATGTCGTTATAATTATAGAGAAATCTTGGAAACTTTTTAATCAAACTTGCAAGTCGCGACTTTTAATGATTTCCCTAATGATTTCCGACTTCAAAGTTAACACTTTAATATGACGTCTATAGCCTGGGGCATTGCTGTGAATGCATACATATCTACTTCATTTTCTTTTTTTCATTGTTTTCGTTTTATAGGCCTGTATTAAAATAATGTTACTGTTGGCAATAAATATTACGAAATGTCAGAACTAATACTCAAAAACAAACGATATGTGATAAAAATAACATTATGAAATTATGATTATCGAGCAGCTCCTTAGTGGAATATTATAACTTAATTTTTTTTAAAGTCGAATAAATCGGTAATTTAGGTTTGTTATTACATACACCACTGCTGCAATACAATAAGTAATAGTATAGATGTAAATATTTATTTTAACTTTTATGTGCAATTAAAACCAGTGTGTGGATGACTCTAATATCGAGAGGTTCCGTACAATAATATAGTAAAAAAACTCCTAACATAAATATTATGCACTAAGGAAATTACTAAGAAACGAGCTGACAAATACTTTAATTAATAAAACAGCGCTTCTTGTATTATAAACATAAACGATAAGGAGGGAACAACATTTCTGCTACATTCATACGGCGAAATACAACATGTATTTCGGATCTTTAACGAAAGTCATTTTAAATGACGATCATATTTAATTATAACGAAAAATAACCTTTCACCAAATATTCCTTTTTTTTATAGGATCGGGTGACAAACGAGCACACAGTCCACCTGATGGTAAGTGGTTACTGTGACCTATAGACATCTACATCTATTCTCAATAAAGACTCAAAATGCAGATGCGTTGTCACCCGTGAGGACTAAGATGGAATGCCTCTTGTCCAGTGAAAAGGGTCTCCGGTTCTCTACACTCACCATACGAAGCTTAAGCTGCTATTTTACGCTGGTATTCTGTGAGAGCGTGGTCCTTCCCCGGTCAAGCCGACTTATTCGTGCTACAACTATACTACTAATATAGCTGCAGTATGGCTCTACCACGTATAAGTGCCACGTAAAACTGAATCCAGGGCTTATTATTTTCTTACATGGTAGTGCCATGCTGCAGCTATATTACGCCCGATATATATATATATATATATATATATATATATATCGAATAGGAGGACAATGCTCTCACAGAATATCGGCGTAAAATAGCAGCTTAATCCCACTGTGTTTTAGACGGTGAGTGTAAAAAACCGGAGACCCTTTTTTTGGAAACTACATATTTCATTTTAGTGTTCAAGTATGACAACACATCTGCATTTTGATTCTTAATCGAGGATAGATGTAGATATCTCATTTGTCACCCTTACTTTATAAAAAAAACATTTTAAATTATAAAGGAAGTAGAATTTTCTCTACGCTTGCCTGCACATGACACTAATAAAAACTGATCTCAAGCGCTTTGTATTTAGACTTTTCAATGAACAACCAAGTTAAAAATGGAATAGTCTTTCTTTTCATCTACAAGAATACAAATACAAAATATTTAAAAAAAATCCTTGAGAAAAGTTACGAGTATAAGGTGTTTATAGTAAAGTTAAAGCAAACATCTGAGTGACATTTAATATATAGGTAGATGAGTTACCTACATTAAAATATAACACCTTTTCAATCTCGCGTTTTGTGGGTAAGGACGCAATAATTGATCAGCTTGGCTAACGTCAGATTCGATTTCAATGAATGGTGTACAAACATTTAAATGTGTTTATACTTCGAACAGTGTTTTAACACAGTCTACACTTCTAGAGGAAAATGAGCAATTTTTTTCTAAACTAACATTGTTTAATCCTTAGAAACTCCTTAGAAGAGCCCTATGTCTAACATTACTACAACGACAGCTCATTTTACGTTGGCTTAATGTGAACACTTACCAGCATAAAGGAGAATTCATGTGATATACTCTCCTTAATATTGAATGTTTCGAAATTCTTCTCGTAAT